TTTTGAAAGCAGACTTCTATAGCTAAATTCTTACTGAGCTTTCAGGGCCCACAGTGTGTACAGCTGAAGCTGCAGCCCACGTCTGATCCATTACTAGGCATGTCGTCCACTCAATAATACACAAGGGGTCCAGAAAGTGATGAGCAGAAATAAAAATTACGCTTCCTGAGTACATGCCAGATGCTGCACACTGACTGTCTCTCTCGTGTATGTTATTTCCTTTAAATCCTCACAACAACCCTGGGAAGTGGGTTTCTCTATCCCTAGTTCAAAGACAAAAAAACTGAGGCCAAAATCAGTAAGTGACCTACTCGACAGCAGTGAAATACTTTCAAGTTTGAGAAAAGATATAAACTGTCACTTCATCCTGAAGTTCTGACTGGCAGCATCAGCATACTTGGAGTTCATTAGAAAAGTGTACCTTCAGCTCCACATTGACTCCACCCTGGGGTGAGACCCACGGTCCCTGTGAACAAGCCCACCAGGTATTTTCTATGCACAGTCAACTTTGAACTCTCACAGCCACTATTCTAGTCCAACTTCCATAGTGATGGTTAAGAAAATAGAGATTCATCACACACACACCAAACCACATATCTGAGGTGAATGATATGTTAAGTAGATTGATTTAATCATTTTCAAGGTTATAGATCAAACCAAATGTTTGGTTTTCAAATTATGCCTTCATAAAACTGAGGGGAAAGAAAAGAAAACAGGCCTGAGGAGATGAAGAGATTTGTCAGTCGCCAATACAAAGACTATCAGACTTTGAACTTCCTAGTGGGGCATTTTAGACTATCCCTGAATGGTGAAGACAGAAGTCCCGAGAACTGAGGGCTAAGCTGTGTCACCTTCCAGAGACAGCTCGGCTTGAATTTGGACAGGAATAAAGACAGCTTCCCTTCAAGTCCTAGTATTTTCTGTCCAAGACTATGCTGAATTGTCTGCCCCAAGACACAGAGTTCCTATCCCTCAGTAATGCCCAGCAGAGGGGAGTGTGCAGGGAGGCATGCTCTGACTGGAGACAGTGTTTGCACACACCTCAACTAGTAAGTAAAGTACAGCCTAGCGGGGGCAAGGTGGTACCTTCATTTTCCAAAATCTTTATTACTAAGTCTGAATGTTAATCTCACTTCCGGTGACTTCCTTTGGCATTTTTGCTGGCTGACATAAATCGTGCTGAGCATCAATGGTAGTGCCAGCATATTTGCGGGACAGGCTTGAGGTAGTAGCCTGGTTGGAAGAGGAACTCCGGGAACTTGTTTTGAAGTTCATTCATGTGCATGCTTTCAATGAGGGCCTATAACTGGTGTAGTTATTTAGGTTGATTCCAAGGGCTGATAATCAGTGGGACCCCTGGCTGCACCATTATCAGGCACTAATCTCCAAGCAACCATTTTCACTCGTTGTGTTTGAATTTAATCCAAACGTTCTTCCTCCCCGGGTCACTTTCCTCTTTTCTGTGGTGAGCTGCATGTTTTGGTTGCTGTGGTTCAGGCCTGGTAGGGAAGAACATTGTTATACTATTGTTATATCAGAAAACCCTAGGGACACTGAAACATAAAATTTTGAAACATTTTGAAAAATATCTACTGTTTATAAGTTTATGAACCCTTCCTAACTTTGGGAATGGAAAAAACAGAATTTAACTTTAAAGTTCACTTTTTATGTTCACTGAACATATTATGCAAACATTAAGGAAGTGTTCACTCCTTGTCCTGGGAGTGGCTTGTAGGTATTTGCATCTACCTACTTACAGAGTGCTAGGAAAGCTTTGAGGTAAAGGTGGAATTATGCAACAGACCCCTTCTTTTTGAGAAAATCAGCATAGTACCAACTGAGACCAGGTAACAGCAGAGGACCACAGAAGCATGCAAGAGACACCAAAAAGAAGAGGACATCCAGGTTGTGACACACTCAGAACTCTCTCGAGGTCAGACGGCACACTATAAATTAACACTTTAATTCCAGTACACTATAAATTAACACTTTATTTCCAGTACACTATAAATTAACACTTTATTTCCCCAGCAAGTAGCAGAAAACAGCAGGAAAGGGGATGGCACTTAAAACACTGTCAGTAAGCCTGGGGGTCCTTTGAGTAGTTAACAGCTCTGACAAAAGGCCAGACTTGCTATTGACTTGGTACCACTGTAGTTTGGATCTTGTTAGGTATTAAGTGCCTGTGACCATGTTTCATGGCTCCCAGCTTGTGTCCACATGCCCTCAGAAGGATAAAGAGAAAGAGAAGTGAGCATCGAAGCTGTCACTCATCCTATAGCACTCCGCAGTACCAGTATTACAGAGCTGCTGTGAGGACAGACGTTGAAAGTTCCCGGGAGCCAGGTGCTCCTTTTCAGCAAACAAGACCCTCCAGGATTGAGAAGTGCCGCACATTAACAATCACAGGGGCAGAACTCCCAATTGTGTGTGTGTGCATGTGTGTACACACAAAGAGAGATGTACGTGCATGCACACAGGCAGGGTGATTGAGAGATTCTGGATTTCAGAATCAGAGGAAAGAATACTTCTACCTCCGCAGAGGGAAGAAGTAAAGAGTTACCATGGCTGTGGTTTAAAAACAGTAGGAATATAATGCACCTTTTTGATTAGGCCACTGGTGTGGGAAGTCAGCAAGTCTCAGGATTTTGGGGGGAATAACGCATTAAGTGTTATACTTCAATAAATACTATTTAAAATCCAGCCGCAGTTCCTTCCTTTTTTTGACATCCAGAAGGCATATGGAAGACAAGTGGCATTAACATAAGAGTAGCTTGATACTGCTTAATTAGTGATCAGTAAGTAAACTGCTTCCATATTTGAATATTTCCCTTTAACGTTTTATGTGCAACAAATCCCACAGTTGATCCTGACAACCACAAGTAAGGAAAACTGCACAAGGGAATATGTACCATCCAACATCCCCACATCAGTCAACTGTGTTCTTTGGGAGGAAGAATAGTTCTAGAATATCACACAGGACACCAATAAATTAATAGCCCATGCCAATGGATTTCCAACCTCAACTAATAAAAAGCTGCCACATTTGTATCTATTCCCTTGCTATTGTGCCAGGTGTTACAAGGAACCAGAAACACGTCCTGACCTTAGAAATTTATCACTGTTCTTCAGGAATGAAGATATTGACATATAATACAATTAGAAAACTAATTGGCGCATGCTCGTTATTAAAACACTCAAAGCACACCTTTGATGCCAGCACTTGGGACGCAGAGGCAGGCAGAGCTCTGTGAGTTTGAGGCCAGCCTCGTCTACATAGCAGGTTCCAGGACAGCTGCAGCTACAGGGAGACCCTGTCTCAAAAAGACAAAAAAAAAAAATATGGACATAATCAGAGCTAAACACTTTTAGCTTATCTTTCAGGCACAGTTACTGCTTATTTGTAAACAAGCTCATTGAATCATGTGCTCCTCTTGTGATCTGGTCACTTGTTACTGATCCCTCAGAACCCTACCTTGAAAAAAAAAAAAAAAAAAAAAAAAAGAGGGATGGATGATAGTAATGGAGCCGGAGATGGACACACAAATAGATGTTGCTTCTGTGCAAGTAACGGAAGAAGACAGTGTTTGAGTTGGAGAGAGTAGCTCATGAGTACACTGTATACATGGAGACTGGCTCCAGCGTGAGACCACATAAACTAAGAGAGCCAGTCAATGTCCCCTTTTCCAATGCTGTCACTTGAGAGAATACAGGTTCACAGGAGTGAGCCGGAGATGGACACACAAATAGATGTTGCTTCTGTGCAAGTAACGGAAGAAGACAGTGTTTGAGTTGGAGAGAGTAGCTCATGAGTACACTGTATACATGGAGACTGGCTCCAGCGTGAGACCACATAAACTAAGAGAGCCAGTCAATGTCCCCTTTTCCAATGCTGTCACTTGAGAGAATACAGGTTCACAGGAGTGGCTTCTAAGTGGCTTTCATTTCATTCAAAACCTCAGGATGCAATAACCAAACCCTTTGTAGGAGTAAGAAAAGCATTTGTCTGCAATTCCTGTCTTCCCAATATAGCCATCATGCTGTATAAAGAAACCCAAACCCCATTCATCACTCCTTTTCAGAACTCATCTATAATTCAATCTACACAAGAACCCTTACACAATGAAATGGCTTTCACTGAGCCACTATACACATTATCTTGAGGCAAAAGGTGGCCCATTTTCAAACGTATTTCACGGACTTCAGTAGTTGTCTGAAGTGAGGTTTACATTCTTCACTAGCCATGTGGAGAGTGTGATAGTCAACAGCAGAAAGAAAAGTGAGACCAGTAAAGTGAACGCAACAGGAAGGAGGGGAGGAAGGCACGCTGGAAAAACGATGACGTCTGAATCTCTGACATCAGAGATGCTGGACGCTTTAAGACCCATTCATAAAAAACAAATCTCTTTTCATAGCCACATTCATTTTTGTTTAACATGGATGGGAAGATAAGGAACAGAGTTATAATGAAAATGGGGTATGCTATCAAAGGAAAATAAAGGGGCCTTTGCAGAGAGCTGCAAGACTGAAGGAGCCAGAGGAAGCAAACAGCCACCTGGGAAGCAACGCAAGCTCTCCCTTCACTTCCCTCAGCAACGGCTCTTAATCTCTTACACCCAGAAACCTCCCCCTAGCAAGAGACAGCAAAGATGCAGGGCTGAATGAATCCCCACCACATGATTTATCTCTGTGCATTTATCCAGATGCGTCATTCTCCTTTGAAGCAAAAGACTCATTAATCCAATTCAAATTGCTGACATCACCAAGTCCTGAGCGTCAGCATTGAAATGTCAATACCAATTAACTATCCACAGCAATAAACCACTGATACACAGCCAGAAGTTCAGCTAGCATTGATTTCAACACTCCTTCATCAACTCAAATTTCCTCAGTGCAAAGAAATGAAGTTATTTGATGACCCTACTGACTAAGCATCCAAGTGGGTTCAAACAATTCTTCATGCAGTTAAGAAGGAACAAGCTGGATCTCATCCACCAAACCTGAAGGATGTCTTCACCAAAGCTTCTGGGCTATCCAGCTGTGGCAATTCATCTGCTAGGATTTCCTCTGGGGGTCGGGGGTCATGCACAATTGTTGGCCGTGGCTTCTCCTTGACATTTCCAGTGAGCCCGTCGATGAGGGAATTCCACAGGCAGTTCTGTGACTTAGACCCTGAGGATGAAGGGGAAATGTACAGGTGAATCATTGACTGACCCATGTCCTCCCTCCCCACTCAGACTATGCAGAGGCAGAGTAGGAGATTTGTGGCGACCCCCTCCTCAAGATTCTACCTGCACCACACGGTTCCAGACGATTCTCATCAAGCACCTTAAGGAGAAGCCAAAAATTTTTATATTTATATACAGAAAACAGGCCACCGCTGAATATACTGACTTACAGCTGAGCATTATGTCTCGGCGCAGAAGTAATGAGCTCTACGGGTATCCAAAGAGATGTCTAGCCAGCAATAGTACCACCACTTCAGAGAACAGAAGGATGTTGAGACTCAAGCCTCCCTTACAATCTCAGCTTCTTGATGCCCAGTTTTGACATTCCATTCTCAGGGGACGACCATCCCAAAGAGGGAACACCTCTGGGGACTAAAACTCATTGCTCATGTATATGGTTCTTCTGCCAACAGAAAGATTCAAGAAAAGCCATGCTGACGGCCTACTCTACAAACGCTTCAGACACATGAGACAAATGCAAAAAGTGAACATCAATGTAGAGTCAGATTAGCCAAGAAATCAAAGTCAGCAACCACAGCAGTAAGCCTTGCTAACAGTACATACCCCTGATATGATGTGACAAAAACAGTCCTTTACCTCTGCTGTCTTCCCCAAAAGCATACGATCCCTATCTGTTAAGCTTGCTTCTAGCTTCTACCATGTCACACTTTCACATCTGTCCAATGTGCACATGCCCCGCCAGCCTGTTCTCTCACTTTTCCTGGGCCTCATGCCCCTTTATCACTCACTAACACCAGGAGTCACCCAACCTCCTCCTCATAGGGCTTTCACACTCCTGCTTCTAATGACCACAACCTCCCAATCACCCGGCCAGGTCCCAGGCAGTTAAATTCTTTACAGTCCCTCTGCTCCAGAGCCCTCAGAAGTCAACCAGACTGGCCAGCCCTGTGCCTGCTTCATGGCCTCACCTGTTCCTCCTATAGAAACCTAAGCCGTGGCCCACAGTCCCCGCTCCTCTCCCTTGTGTGATGTGCAGCCCCAAGGGGTTGGTGAGTATAAAAAACTGTCCTGACAACACAGTTTTCTCACAGTCTGTTGACTTCACCACAATGAATCAATAATAAAACCTAACAGGTCTAGTCACGGGGTAAACATGAGACATCCCAGTTGAGAAGCATTGTGAAAACATCTGACCAATACTCTTTAAAATAGTCAAAGTTCTCAGAAAAGGAAAATCTGAGAAACCGTCATGGCCAAGAGGAGCCGAAGAGCCATTACTAAATATTTAAATGTAGTGCGGTATCCTCAATGGGATCCTGCAACTTAAAAATGATACCAGGCAAAAGCTAAAATAATTTGAGCTCAGTTTGAATTTCAGTTCATAATAACACATCAAAAACAGTTCATTACTCATAAGAAATGTATCATACTAATGTGAGGTTAATAACAAAGGAAAATAAGCATAGAGTCTGTGAGGTCTCCTCGTATCGAACCGAAGGTTTTAGAAACCTTCTGTAAATCTATACCAGATTGGTTTAAAATAAATATTATTGTAAGAAATAAAGTAGTAAGCTTATATATAACCTATGAAAGAAGTCTTTGAGGAAACCCAGATTTTCCTCAAATATTTTAGAATCTGAAAGCACAAGTCTCACACTCCTGCTACCAGCTCACGCTGGCTGTGCTCTCCCTAGAAGTATTTTCACCTTTGCAAAAAGACACTGTGGCATGGCGTGGAGTCTTGCTCCCATGGACCTGCATCAGCCAAATGGGGCTTGGCTGCTCCATCCATGAGACAGGATGCCTGAATGCAAAGGTCAGGCAGCACTAGCTACATGCATGTATGTAACAGGAGGGTACAGAACAGACACACATGTACACAGGGATACTTAACTTCCTGTTGACCCTGACATGAACACAAGAGACCACACTGCCTTATCATGTCCGAAAGACAGCTCTGCCATAAGGTCAAATACCTAAAGAGAGCACCTAAGGAGCTTCACTGAGTGTTTACCAAGCACACCCATGACCAGAAAACAACCTTTAATGACCATGACCATCTGTGACTGATCCCCTTGGAGCATCCATCCAGACTGCTTTTTCCTCAATCAAGAGCACTTTAGGAACAGAAGCAAATCTTGAAGCCCCTGAAATACAAGACCATTCTTCTTGAAACCCTAACCATATAGCTTAATACAATCTGGTCTCATTAATGAAAGTCTGGTTCTATTTTAATAAAGATCTTTTATATGTTAATGAGGGTCTGGGCTTTCTTAAATTCGGTCTGTGTGAAGGCCTTACAAACAAGTTCCAAGGCACTGACCTCCATTCTTGTGCTTCTGTAGCCAATAAACATGCATTGAATTGCATCATTGTGCCAGGCCCAGTCTAGGCCCTTAAACAGAAAGATGAAAAGCTGGGAATGTGAAAGGAGGTATGGGACATGTTCTGTGGATTCTGTTCACAGCTCCCAACAGCCTTCTTGTAAACTCATTGGTATCTTTGTAGCACTGACCACTAGCAATAACAAACAGCAATACACCATACTAGAGGGCAAACAAGGTGCTACCCGAGCCCAAAGAAGGCTGGACTACTCAATCTCGGGGCCCTGGGGAAAGTGTCAAGAGAGCATGACACAGGGTATAGGTCTAAAGACAGAGAAGCCCTATAGCCAGAGGAAAGAGCACTTGCACAGCTCAGCAAAGCCACTGGCTGAGGCTGAAGCAGAGACAGAGGGAACAATGTCCAGAGCAAAGTCCAAGGGCTAGCTGGGCACTTGTAAAATTTCTTGAATAAAATGCTGATAGGCAAAGAACAAAAGATTTCTAAGCAAGGTTGTGGTATCTGTCCTACTTAGCTTCTTATTACTGTGATAAAACCCTCTGACCAAAGCCAACTTGGGGAGGAAAGGTTTATTTGGCTTCTATATCCCGATCACAGTGCACCCTTGACGGGATGCCAGGACAAGAACCTGGAGTCAGAGACCAAAGCACAGACAGCTGACAAATGCTGCTTACTGGTTTAATCCTGACAGACCGTGGAGGAATGCTTCTTACCAGCCTAATCCTCTGACCTGTGCTCAGCCAGTTTTCTTAGACAACCCAGGAGTACCTGCACCTCCCACAGTGCACTGGACTCCCCCACATCACTCAACAATCAAGAAAATGCCTCACAGGCATGCCCACAGGTCAATCATGAGGAACTTCCCCAAGTGAGGTTCTCTCTTCCCAAGTGTGTCAAGTAGACAGCTGAAGCTACGCAACACGGTATCCATCTGCCTTTTCAGGAAGGAAACTGGTGTGCTGCAGAGCAGCAATAGGTCAAAGTGTCTGTGAATTCACACATGGCCACACATGCTACTTGTAAGTGAATAACAACGCCTTATACTCACAGATGACTAATCCTTGAGTATATGCAAATTCATAAAACATAAATTCATTTGTAAGCTTTGATGAACTCAATAGCTTTTCTATCATTTTTCAGTGAACCAAAAGGATCATGAGATCCAAGCCACCCTCCATGAGGGGTCCAAAGTGGATACATACTGTCACCTGAAAAAGCTGTACTGACAGCTCAAAGACAGACATACAAGCTTAAAAGGCAACTTTAGAATCCATCTATCAACAGACCTCACTTAGCATTCATCATCATCAGCTCCCCTCACTTGCCTTCCTCTTTTCAAGACAGGCACAATATACCATTTCCCAGCTTTCCTTGCTACTGTGGCTGACTTTGGGTTGTAATTCTGTGCAAACAAAATGTAGCTGGCAGTTCCTGGGATTACTGTCTCTTTCTCAATAAGATTGTACTTCACACTTAATAGGAAAACAATTTTGTCCCTTTAAACTTGGCCTGTCTCCTCTTCTTTTCCTTTTCCCTTCCTGCTGAAAGGTAGGCATGGAATACGTGAGCTGCATCTTGTGAGCATGAAGTGATTAGCATTGTGACAAAAGCCTTGCATGAGTAGAAAGCTAAAAGAACCTGGGGCCCTCACAGGACAGTTGAAGAGCTGGCCTACCTCCTTCCAGACTCCTTGATGTGAGAAAAACACCTACTCAGCCTCTTATATCTTTGGTATCTTGCACCCAAGAACATTCCTAAATAAAATCTGCATTTTTTTGCATAATAAAAAGATGCCCCCTGTATCTGAACTGTGCTATCTAGGAAGTGGTATTTTAATAAGCCCTCTATTTATGAATAGTAAACTTAATTTGCATACTCTCCTCTATTAAATCGGATCCACAGGTGTCCTTACTGAAGGTTCATGAAACCTTATGAGGTGCGTGTCTCTGGGTATAAAGTGCATTTTGATCTTAGTGGCACATTTAAGTGTGAAAAGTCAAAACAGTCATTATTGTCATTATTTGTATAACCTATTTTTGGCATCTCCTCTTTTTCTGTGTGTGTGAGAGAGAGAGTGACAGAAAGACAGGCAACAACAAAGACATACAGTATACACATGTATATATGTATATATGTGCATGTGTACAGATACCTGTACATGTGTGTGCACATGCATGTGGAGGCCTCAGGTGTTGTCCCTTAGTATGACCCTCCACCTTATTTTTCTTTTTTTAAAAATTTGTTGAGCATTTCATACATTTATATAAGGTGTTTTGATCAAATCCATGCCCACTCCCTCCCCTCCAACTCCTCCCATATCTCCCCATCACTTTTTTCTGATAACTTCATATACTCTTTCTTCTTTGATTAATTTTTTATGGGACTTTTGGCTACTCTAACATTCCCCCCTTTAAAGAGGTACCCCTAAAATCTTTTAAGGATTAGATAAAAGCTCCCAAATACTTTCAACATTTTTGGCCTTTGGAACAGAGTATGTTGCTAAGAGGCCCAAGGACATGGTGAGTTTTAGCCAAGAAACTGGCTACTTTTCTTTGGGGTTTTTTACACTAATTGCCTAGCCAATTCCTACCTCCTATTCTTATCACACCACCCTCTGAAGAGGTTACCCAAATTACCAAT